TATCCTCATGAATTCACTCATGAGTACATCAGGACGGATAAAAAAAGGAAAAGAAGTTGTATGAGCAGTGATTGCAACGCGACGAAGAAGGATTTCAATGGGGAACTGGATGTAGAGTTATCAGGATCAGTACAGAACAACATCACTCATCCAGAAGAAACATGGTACCATCTCCAGCTTGCTGTAAAAGCAGCTTTGAAGACCACAGCTGACTTTCAGAAAATGGATCTCAGTAGCTTTTTCTCAAATGGAAGCATATGAATGCATCTCTGCAGATTCCGAGCACAATAGAAAGTGGAAGCAACTCAAATGACGCAATAACCGCAAGTAGCACTGGATAGAGAAGATTATGGAGATGCAACGACGATGAAAATGGGTAACAGCAGAGTTATTTAGACTGATTAAGGTAACTGAGGCAAAGGACGGCGAAGGACGTATCTGTGAGGAGAGGAGAGGACTGGAACGACGGCTAGAACACTTCGAGGAACAGTTCAACTGGCTTTCAGCTACTATTTCGTCACCCACTGTCCAGTTCGATCCTGAAAAGAACAATGAGATGGATTCTTCATCACTCTCCGAAACCGATAATGCTATAACTAATTTGAAACAAAAGGGGGTACCAGGCTCTGATGGGCTAGTATAGGTGGTATTTAAAAGCAGTGACCGAGAATTGCTGAACAGGTTAAATGAAATGTTAGCTCTAGTGTACGAACTGTATATGATACCGTCTGATTCCTCTCAATCACTGATAATCCAAGTATTTAACAAAAGTGAGAACTCTTGAATGCAAAATCCAACTAGGACGCCCAACATTTACAGAAGTTAGGTAAGCTGTAGGTAATACGAAACAAGGAAGAATAGCAGATCCTGGCGGACTAGTTCCAGTGGTATTTAAGGGTGGTAGTGGAGGAATTCTCGTCATCTTAGGTAAAGTGTTAAGTGGTGTATGGGAGTCAAATGTCATCCTTTCTGACTGGACTCAATCACTGGTTGTCTCAGTCTTCAAGAAGGGGAAGAAATCCTCTTGTAATAACCATAGGTCAGTCAGCCTGCCGAGCGTGGTGTCTAGGATTCTAGGTTCCAAAATTATCAGTCAGATACTCGCCCCCCACTAGGTTCTGGAACAAAGGTATACTTACCGGTGCAGGACTAGTTATATTTCCTGATCCATAAGTAACTTTCGACTCGGTCGGTTGAGAAGTCTTGTGACTCTGTGTTTTACTGAAATGGGTACCAAGTAAGTAGATCACTCTAAGGTAGCTTTGTATCCGAACACCTTTGGATGTGGCAGAGCCTATGGTGCGATATCAGGTCAGTTGTGTACGCCGAGTATTGTCTCTCAAAGATATCCATTCTCTCCATCTTCATTTAGTTTAGTTTAAACGTACTTATGGAGGTCTCCCTCTCGTCATGTGACTAAAGAGGTTGATCTTGTCACAGAAGAATCTTTTATGGACTTGGAATAAATAGTTGACATCGTCCTGTTAATATGAAGACACGGACACCTTGAGCGGTAATTGGAGAATGTTAGTGATGCGTTTGTCGCCGTCCAAATGTAAATTGTTGCTTCAGGACCGGTCTTCTCTAGTGCTGCCGTGGTTAGCCGTAGTCGAGTGCTTTGACCACTTCATTTACTTGGGAAGTTGAATCGGCCTCTGTACGTCACTGGTCAGCGAAATTTCAGCATGGATACAAAAAGTTGGATTGGCTTTCGTCAACTTTCACCATTTATGGTGTTGCCGTGATATCGGACTGCCTATTAAGAGTCGAGTGTACGGTGCTGCAGTTTGCTCTGTTCTACTACATGGCTGTGAAAAGTGGCCATTAAAGATTGGGGAGATAAGAAGGCATAAAATGTTCGATCACCGTTGCCTTCGTTGTGTCTGGAATTTCATGTATAGTAGCCGAGCCATTTTTTGACGGTACCACTAAACGAGAGAAGCAACTAATTTATGAATTGATGCCATGGACTGAAGAAGGACAATTTTGTGTTAAATTTGGGGGTTTGTAGGGACTTAAAAATTTTTCAAGTTGGTACTCATCATGGACTGACATCAGTTGGAGAAACATTGGAAACCTGGGAGCACTGGATAGCTGTTTCGTCCTAGTATATGACTCTTTAGCAGCGTGTACACATGACGCCGCCAGGGATCGAACTCGTGACCTTCAGTCCATGATGAATACCAACTTGAAATATCTCTAAATCGCCACAAACCCCCAAATTCAAATGAACTAGTGCTCACTGGTGACTAGCTTCGAGAGGTGATTCCTGAAGTTCCAATGAGAAGTCGTGACCAGTCGGACAAACTTGGTGACCGTGAGGACAAATACTCAACGATGATATTAGGTGGCGGTCTCGCTATGCCGTGGACCGATCGAAGTTGGAAATATGGACCGTTGGATTCCGATCCAGTGGCTCAATGGTGACGTGTTGACCACGGAACCTGGAGGTCCTGAGTTAGATCCCTGACGGGACGGGTTCGTAAATGTACACTGCTGAAGAGTCCCATACTAGGACGAAACAACTGTCCAGTACTCCCAGGTTTCCAATGTTCTTCCAATTGGTGTCAGTCCATTATAAATACCGACTTGAGAATTTTTGGGTTGGCTTACGTTAATTTGTCACAATACATTAGTCTTGATCGCAGATACCAAACCATTCAGTAGGCAAACGAGTTGATTATGGCTAAAAATGAAAGCCAACAATGATTTCCCTTGTTTTCCAATTCTATAATAATGTAAATGAAATGACAATAAAGCTTGTTGTTTTTCTTCTAGCTTCTTTTATCTCGATCATTCTGTTCACCTCTATTATTCTCCATAATATTATGATGTTATTTCGTGTGGGACACTTCTCAATACATTTCTTGCATAGAGTTTGTTTTAAAAACTATCATCTGTATATGGGTTCTTATTATAAGTTTATTTTCTCAATAAGCTGAACAGAATTTTAGTTATGGGCATCATGTTTTTAAACATGAATAGAATAACATGTTTTTTAAAACTGTTTTTTTCAAATTCTTCTCTTCACTTACATATAGATGATATCTGCTTGATGCTATAGAGTTTCGTTTTCGAACTGTTACAACTTATAATTACCAAAGATATGTTTATTTAGGTAGCTGTACTTGTAACGTATTATATCCTTGCATTGTATTGTGACCAGATGCGTATTGTTTTTATCTAATGGCAATTAATGAATAATTTTTGTACTCATTAAACATTAACCTCTGTATCTAGATAATAGGATTGTTAGCACTCATCAATAAAATGTACATGTTCTTTCTTGGAGAATGGAATTAAAATCAGATCAACTATAAAGCCTTGATGCCCTTGATACTGTTTTTGTTGTTGACACTTTTTATTTCATCAAATTCAGTCTCAATAGCTCGTAATAATTGTCTTTAGAAATATAAACTGAATTATAGTCCAAGTTATAATTGTAAGGTGCTTACTAGTTATATTGTTACTCTGTTATTGGCACGTAATTAACACAGAATTTTATAAAATATAAATCTTGTTTATGCCTGCTAAAGTAATGATACTAAATTTCTACAAAATCATAACGAAGAATAGAATACATCATGTGCATCAGTGTAATTCTCAAACCATCTTTCATGAATGTACGAAGTAATATATGTTTCTATGAAGTGTAACCTTTAGAATGATACGAATGAAAGCCACTTCTGGTTAATAAGTAGATTAAAAATTTACCAGATATAGATGTATCCCTAATAATAATAATATTAATGATAATAATCGTTTTGTTCTAAGCAGCATGTATGATACAGTATGGAATTTTCAGCATGAAATTCGTTTTCCGTACAATATTTTTAAAAGAAATAATTATCACGTCTGGATAGTATTAATAATAAAATTATTGAAGGCATAAGAATGAAATAGGCAGCTGGTGTTACATTAGCATCTGTCCTTGATTCAAAAATTAAGACAAAATCGAGTGTAATTTTGATTGTGGCAGTTGAGTTAGCCAGCATATAACCTTTTTCCTTTATTTTTTTTTCTTAGCTTGAGAAACAAAAGTTCGAAAATATTTTAAAAACGTCGGGGAGTACATGATGCGTTCAGAAGGCATTTAAAAGGTTAAAACAAACTGAAAGCAAAAAAATTGAATTGAATATAATCGGTGGAAAGTTTTTTGTTAGCCTAAGATTTAAGCAGACTCGTTAAAACAAAAGGTGCTTCTCTTAGCTATAATCTAATCACTTACAGTCATCTTTTCCTCTGTTGCATAGTATTCAACCTGTCAAACCACTAAGTCAATAAAATGGTTTCTGTGTAGAGGTAAGTTATCGATGTACTTGGGAAACTTCATTGACTCAGTTGGATGGAGGATGTGTTAAGTCAACAATGGCATCAATGCATAGTGTTGATGCGGATAAAAACAGGATGAAGAATGTTTCAAGCTGGTTGGACCAATTTGTCTAATCCATCCATGAAGTTTAAACCGTGTAGGTGAATACGTTTTCCTAATTGAGATCTACAAGGAAGCCGGAGATAATAATTAGCAATTTTGGAGGATACTACTGGCAATTAATCTTGAAAACGGATCTATTCAGATCTCCATCTGTCTATATCTTGAATGTCCTATCATTTTGTAATTTTTATTGTCGACCACAACAATTCACCTTATTCTTTTTTTACCAAGTTTTCCTCGAGATTTAAAGTTTTACCATTATTTCTGCTGTGGCCGAAATATGTAATCAGATATTCTATGCCCAAATAGTTTATAGTATTGTTTGTTTAAATAACAAATCTCACTTAAAGATAGTTGACTAACGAACATCCTATCAACTTAAACCTTTCGTTCTTCCTTTTCGAAAAATGTAATGTTTTGTTATTGAATTAGAACATTGAATTTCTTCTCGATGTTTTTTTGTAAGAAAAATTAAATCGCCTATACTGCCACGTAATATTTTGTAATTTGAGATGTTGTTTCCAAGTTCAGTCCGATAATTATTTGTCATGTTGTAAATATTCAGCATCTCAGTCATCATCATCATCATCGACTAAGATGACAACCAATCAGTTGGCTGTGACTTGCAGTAGCAGTTGTGTGACTATAACATCTCAAAATTCTACTACGAACTCCACTACGTCTATCGTTGCTCAGGATAATTTGCCCTTAATATTACCTCGTCGGCCTTTGTCTCTACGTGGTCTTGGGATTTCGTGTAATTCAAAGAATAGTTCAATTTTAAATAACATAGCTGGTACATATGTTGACTTACCATCTATGACACCTCCCAACGAGATATCGATTTCAGGGAAAGGAGACAGTTTATTACCACCTACGCTGGCAACAATGCATGATCTATTAGAATGGCAATGGGATCAAGCTGGAACTTTATTGATGCAACAAGCGAAAAAGACTGATGGTATGTTGTTCGTTTTAGATTTGTTTTTCATTCATTACCTTGAGATGAAGAAAGTTTTTAAAATGTTTTCCTTCTTGATCGCTGAAATGGATAGATGTGGTAAACTGAGAGGATGCAGGTGGTTAACACTTCCTGGCCACTCACACTGTAAATCTATTTTGAAGTCATTGAGACACTCCAGAAGTGTTATATTTGTCGGTCACCTGTCAAACAAACTTTGGATTCACAGTTTGTATCACACTACCAATCCTCAGCTCTCATAAACCTGGAGAGGTTAGAATTGTATTTGATTTTGTTGCCAAATTCAGTGGTCTATCACTAAATGATTGTTTATGTACTGGTTCTGACCTAGTAAATGAACTTACAGATACGTTAATGAGATTCCGTCTGCATCCCATCGCTTTGTCTGCAGATATTACAGACTTGTTCCAGAGATCGGAGTTCCACTATATTTATTTCAGTACGTCTCTGAAGATTTTCAGTCATTATATGACGTATACCAACAAGGCGTTCATCAGTTTGGAGCTACTTCGTCTCTGTTTTATACATTATGAGCTCTCAGACAGGTTTTAAAAGACAACCTCGATTTATTCGATCAAAAAACGCAGTTGGTCGTTGAAAACAATGCGTACCTTGATTAATGTATAGTATCTGTGGAGCCTGTAGATGGAACCATCGGATTAGTGGAAGACTTGATATAACTATTGAAATTAGGTAGTTTCCGATCCCATAAGCAGCTAGTAATGACAAAAATGAATCGAAAACTCTATCCCCTAGCCAAAAGTCGTGTAGTCAATTAAATCAAGCTTCTCGGGAATTGAACTTTAGCGGATACTGGTGGTTTATTGGTGCATCAAAGCAGAATCATCCAGGTTCAAGGTAGATTTTCCATATTATCCAATCATGAAAAAAGGAATTTCAGCATGTAAACCTTCACTGTATGATCCCCTGGGTCTTGTATCCGCGCTGTTGATTCAACCTAAACATCTACTGCAGGGGTTTCACACGAAGCTGTCCCTGAGGTCTAATAACTACTTTTTTAGTTTTAACAGTAGGACAGTAGTAAATTTTTCTTAGTGTTGCATAGATTGCATATTCTTTTAAAATAATTTTAAGGGATAACTATTTTGGATGAATGCATTTTAAATCTACTTCCAGCTCATTTATGACCTTTTATTTCATTTGATAGGTGTACCATTTCACATCACCATGTAGGCATTTGACATACGTCGTCAACTCTACCACCATACTGAGGATTTACCTATCTGATCCTCATCAGTGATGTGTTAATAGTGTGTAAATAACCGTAAAGGATTGTTTTTATTACTGAAGTTTAACCGACATTAGTAATTTAGTGAACCAACGGAGTATCCTAATTTGGTCTTATTCTTGTTTCGAGGTGTGCGCACGTTACAAGTCTCTATCCAATGCAAAAACATATCTAAACATTATCGAATTCTTTCTGTCAATTAAAAGATCGAAGTAGACTTATTATCACTATTTTACTGGTTCCTATAGCTACCTACCTCTGAATCACAATCACTTTTTAAGTTTTTAAAAAAATCTTACAATCAACTGAAGGTATAAATGTATACATCCCTATTTGTTCCACACTGTGTACTCAATAAATCTTTTGAAGACAAAAGGTATTTGACTTAAGGTTACGTCGGAAAAGACTAGGAATAACTAGGTTGAAACGCGGTCTCAACTTATGAAGTCTGTGGCTGTCAACCGTGTGCAGAAATGTTAGCTTCCAGGTTGGAATCCCCCAGATCACCGAAGTCAATAGTTTGAGGCGTTAAGTAATATGGCTCAGAATTAATCACAATGGCTCATATTCGCTCTACACCTTTGCTTTATCTCTTCTTTCTTATCTTATTACTTTTCATGACATTTCTTCACGCTTTTTTATTTCTTTGTTTACCTTTTTATAACCTACCGTCTGTGTTAGCATGATTTGTGGTAACCCGAACCGTTATTCAGTATTTCGAAGTTGTATATTCATAGTCAATCAGTTAGTTATTACCAGCAAATCAGTCTACAAGAGTAAATCTATGAAAAAGCTGAATAAAAATGGAGTGAAGGGATATCCTTGATGGAAGTCACTGGACGTCGATAACCTACCTGATAATCCATTCTAGGCTGCAAAATGAGCATAGCTATTCGGGTATGAAGCCTTCAGCAGGATATTGTACTTACACAGCACCAGTTGATAAAAAAAATGTTTAAAGGGAAGAACTACCTCTCCCTAGTATCCATCATCTACCACTGCTAACGATCATTCTAAGGTAATTGTTGATTCATATTTCCTATTCACTTGTTAGCGATTTCAACGATGGAGCTATATTTCTCTCAGTATAGTTTTAAATTAAGTAGTGGTTAGACTTCCGCATCTCAACGGTAATATCTTGTTAGAGCTATTGTTCACTCCTTAATAATCAGTTGCATAGCTCAAAGACTAAGAACAGCTATGTTCATGGTGAGAACTGTTGGTGTTTGATAGTACCATTCAAAAGATGACGCTGTGAGCTTTCGTTAAGTGAGTTATTTAATATATGGTTTAAAAAGTGCCGTATCCAGAGAATTGTATAACCAGAAACCTGAAACCATAGGGAACAATGGAATGTACAGATTTAGGACTAACTTTTTTAAAACCTTTTCTCTATAAAGTGAAAAGGCTGCCCAACCGGAATGCTAGTCATGCAAAGGAAGACATCTTCCTACCACCGCATGCCTTTCCAGACAGCAATACGATACCGCCTTTCGACTCCTACCACAGTAAATTGATAGCGTTATAACAATAGCTCTTCTTAGTTGTTCCTGATCTGGTACATATTTTTTAAGTATGAATACTACACAGCATAGCCTGTTTAATCGTTGAGATACATAGGCTTGACTGCCTGTTGAAGATAATATAGCTTTCGACTGAAATCATAATATATAAAAGTTTACGAACTTGTTGATTTGCCTACTAAAATTCCATTGTATTGAATCCTATAAAATGTTATTTTTGGTGTAAACTATGAAACATCCAATAGTAATCCAGGTGTCTCTTTGTTGAAGTAACTGCCAGCTGTATGTGTCACAGGTGAACTAATCCTACTACCTGATGGTTTAATTTGAAAATATTAGTAGCTTCATTTTAAATTTGTGATACCCATAGTTGTAGGTAGAATGATTTCTTCGACAGATCTACGTGAATTATACTAAATGTGCTCTCATTTTATTTCTACTAATAATTGATAGGACTAAATAGATTTATTTTTGAATTTTTATCAAGCCCGTTGTTTGATTAATCTACTTTTCATTAGTTTAATATTTCAGTTATTTAATTTAAGTCGTTTTGCATATTTTTATCAACTATATTATTTAGTTGTTACCCTCCTCGATTGTCTTCATCAATTGAAGTGTGAAAATGATATCCTTGAAGCTAAATTAGTTCGTCTTACAACTAGGCATGAACACTTAAGATCTGTAAATGCTCGTTTATCAGATTCACTGGCAACAATGGAAGCTACAATGGTGATGAATTCTCCTAAACATGAAACTTCTGAACAAAATCCTGTTGATGTTTCTGTTCTTACGAAAAAGTCAAATCAGCAATCTCATTATCATTCTTCACATTTATCTGATAATAATACCACCATTCAAGATTCACATATATCTGCAGTACTACATGCTGTTGGTCGAGAGTCTCAACAAAATCATCTATCTGATGGTATGGCTAAAAGTAAGTTGTTTGATATGATTTCTTAACACGTATAAGCATACTTGATGCGTCAGTCAATGGATTTGATTTATCATATGTGATTTACCTAATGTTGCTTTCGCCAAAGTTTAATGTTTACATGACTTGGCGAACAACTGAGTTCAACCGAACAACCTTTTATGGATTTAGTTACCAGGCCTTCATTAAATGTTTAATAATACTTTGGGGGGTTTTTCAAGGTGAATTAGATGAAATGAGTTTAAATCGATTAGTGTTCTCCATTATTGAATGTGATTTACATAAAAATTGGGAAGTAATTCTAACCTTTTCACGTGTTGATTTTTACTGGGAAAATTAACCGTTGAAATTGAATCTAATTGTTATGTGATGTAGTAACGTAACCACTCGAGTTAAAAACTAATGGACTGTGAATTGAAACTACAATGCACATAATGTGGATGGAATATATAATAGCCCTTCACTCAACATGTAATGATCATGAGGTTCTCTTAAATTGCGTTTTCTCAAATATTTTGAAAGTAATCTGGATTCAATGGTTTGTGGAGATTTGTTGATTTCAAGTTGATATTCACCGTGGACTGAACCATTGAGAACCTAGAAGCACTGAACAGCCGTGTCATCCTAGTGTGAGACTCCGTAGCAGTATGCAACCATTACCCCACCAGTGATAGAATCCAGGACCTTCAGGTTTCACGGTGAGCACGTTGCCATTGAGCCACTCGGTCGGGATCTATTGGCCCACATTTTCCTACTTCCATCAATTTTCCATGTAGCGTGACCTTTGTCCAATGGCGTCGTTGAATATCCGTCCTCACATCTGAACTGGTTCGCCCCACCGATCACAACTTCTCACTAAAACTTTTGTAATCATCTCTCGAAGCGAGTCCCCAATGAGCATTGGACAATAATTCGATTTGGAGGGTTGTGGGGATCTTATTGATTTCAGGTTGGTATTCATCATGAACTGACATCAGTTGGAGAACCATTGAAAACCTGAGGACGGCATTGGATTCCAACCGAGTGACTCAATGTACTCACCGCGAAACTTGAAGTCCATGGGTTCGGTCACTGGTGATGTCATAGGTGTGCACTGCTAAGGAGTCTCATATCAGGACGAAACATTTGTCCAGTGCTTCATGGTTTTCAGTGGTTCTCCAAATGATTCCAGTGTATGGGGTGTACCAACTTGATATTTTGAAAGGCTTTGATATTGTAATCTCATAGGATTTTAACCATTTACTTGATCATGAAAGTTCTGTATAGAGATTTCATTAGGATATTTCGTAGTTAGTTCGTCTCTATAAGCTTGATAACCGTGTTTTTATATAATTCGTATCTACATGAGAAAATAAGAAATTTATGATTCTTTTTAGTGTGCCATCAAAAAAGTAATATAGATGATATAATATTGGTAAACAGGGTGGAAATGGGGAGCCTGGCGGTAGACAATGTAATTGTTAACTTCCTTATACTGGTTGGAGTCTATCCATCATGTTTCCAATGTGGGGCTTGAGCACTATATTTAATAGCTTCTCTAGGCTTCTTATGATGCATTAGTATAGATAATGCGTCAAAGTTGACAATGAACACTTTTTTCCGGACATAATAATGACATAACAACATTGTACTGAGGTGATGATTGAAGGTGAAATGAAAATTTGGATCGCGGTCGAATTCGAACTAGTGACCACCGGGTTTCCGTTGCGATGCTCTACCAACTGAGCTACGAGGTCCGACTACTGGCCGAAAGAGCGGTAGTAATGCGTTATGAATTCACATTGTAGTCAGGCAAAATCCTTGATGATTGAAGTGAAATAAAAATCTGGTCAGGAGTTGGACCTCGTAGCTCAACTGATAGAGCATCGGGCCGGAAATCCAGTGGTCGCTGGTTCGAATCCGGCCGTGGTCCAAATCCTCATTTCACCTTCAACCATCACCCCAGTATAAATACTAGTCTGCCAAACTGGCTATCTCAGATAGTTGAATAATAAGTAATAATATTGGTTTCTAGCTATGACTACTATTACATATGTTTGTTTTTCCCCTACTGAAGGTTACTCACGCCATTCGGTCACTGTATTCAACAAGTACACTGATCCACCTAATCCGAAATATTCAAGCACTTTAAACAAAAAAGCTCCAATATTACCGAAAGACAGTGATGGGTGTATTAACCCTAGTTTAAAACGTGATCCAACTAATCTTACAGATAGCATTCGATCATTGGATAAAATACAGGCAACAACAGTTTGTCTGACTCAGAATCAACTACCGATCTTTTGTGTATCATCGAATTTCTCAAAGTCTTCTAATGAATCACAATCCACTTATTCAAATTTAATCAAACACCAACCATATATCTTTCCTAGTGATGCTTCAATTCAACGTACTAACCAACAGAAGCTTAATCTTAGCTATTCGTCTAATCCCTGCTCTACACTACCAACTACTAACTCGACATATTTTACTAAAAGTGTCGATCTTAATGATTTGGTAAGTGTTTCATTCGTTTATAATTGTTTTCAATTACTTTGTGTCACTAATATGAGAGTGGAGTTTACACATTATTATTATTATTATTATTATTATTATTATTATTATTATTATTATTATTATTATTTGTCCCTTGGGTTCCTAGTGGAACATAGGGCTTCAGTAGCACCTCTCCAGTACACTCTTTTCTCTGCGAACTTTCGAACCTGTCTCCACGACAGCCAACTAGCTCTCATTTCCTCCTCACACGATCTCCTCCATGTCACCCTCAACTCGGACGCCCAACTCGTCATTTCCCATGTGGATTCCAATCTACGGCCTGGCCTGACGCGTGATGTCCCCAGTCGGCCTTCCCAGTGTATGCCCGATCCATCTCCACTTCTTTGCGCATATTTGTTGAGCGACAGGTTCTTGGTTGGTTCGTTGCCAGCCAGAGTGAGTTCCTTGTTGCTTATTCTTTCTGGCAATCCATCTGAGCTTCAGTAACGAATGAGTGAGCGTAGGCAGTTGTTGATAAATGTCTGTAGTTTGTTGGAAATGCCTTTCGTAACGCGCTAAGTCTCTCAAACATACAGAAGCACTGACTTGACTGGGTTGGTGTTGAAAATCCGCATCTTGTTCACACTTTATGCTGAATGCAGATCTCCACACTGGTTTCAGGCTAATGAACACCTGTCTTGCTTTTCCGATCCTGGTTGCTTTGACGTCCTCGTCTGTGCATGTGTCGCGTGTAGTTGAAACAGTGCTGTCTAGATAGGTGAAAGAGGCTACTTTCTTTAGGTTTCTCCCGTTCATGGTGATTGGAGCATGTTGTTGTTGTTGTTATTAGTGGTGGTGGTGGTGGTGTGGGTTGGGTATATTCATCACCCCTGTCTTCCCTACGTTCACCTGAAGGAAGTCCCGTCTCCATTCACTGCCTCTTCTGTCAACTTGCTAGTTTTCTCCTTTATATCTTCAAGTTTGTGTGACATTAGACACTAGTCATCAGCGAAATTCAAATCTTCTAGGTTCTTTTCCATATAGGAGCACTGACTTGACATTGGTTTTGGAAATTTGGATCTTGGTGACGCTTTATGCTGAGTGCAGAAGATCTCCACACTGGTTTCAGGTTAATGAACGCCTGAGGGTTTACATATTAGTAGATCATAAATCCTTTTTGGCTTATTGGATTCAGTGTAAAGAATGCCATTTAACTGTGATATGCTTAAAAAACAAATTAGCATAAAAATTATACCATTATATTGAAGTTCATTATACAATTCAACTGTGATGTATTTAGTTTTTTAACATAATCAGAGTTATCTAAACAGGTTGTAGCTGTGTATTATTTTCTTTTAACACTCTTTACATCAGCTCATTGGTAGGAAACTAATAAAATGAAATGCGAACAGTGATATTTTATTTGAGATGCGCTTAGCCACCTTGTGGACACCTATGCAGTAGAAAATAAGCCGCACCTATTGTGTAAGGGCTAATGGATACTACCTGGCTGTCCAAACCTGGATGGGTGGGGCGGCGCTTAATTATGATAAGTAAGTAGGGCAAGCAAACAAAATAAACCAGATAACTAGGAAAACAAGGAATCTTGGTTGTATCGTGTTCTCTTAGCTGGGGTGTTTAATCGTGGAGTTTTCGTCGTCTTTCTAGATGAAATCGTCAGCAGTAACTTCAGTATGAAGTGAGCTGTCACTATTTCTCCCTGAGTGCTTTAGTAGCTTGCCTTGACAAAGTGGTCTATGATTGGTTGTTTCCTTCGATTGTTGTGTCATTGACTGACTGCACAGATTTTCCTGTTGGCTGTCCCTCTGCTTGACCTCTGATCATTCTGTCGTTTATCATTTTTCTTATTGGTTGATAGATTGGGTCTATATCTATACATCTGTTGGTCGCTGACTGACCTGAATGCCAAGCTTCTAGGAATTCTCTGGTATTCTTTGTGTTTCCTCTCTCCGTCCAAATTTTCTACATTGTCGAAATTGAATTCATTTCCATAGTTGTTATCCACATGCATTGAAATGAGTGATGAAATGTCGTGACGTTTAATAGCTAATTGGTGTTCATGTAGACGAAGGCGAAGAGGGCGACCACTTTATCCAATGTACTGTTGACTACAATTATTGCAGTTGATTTTGTAAATGATATTTGGTTTGTCTTCTTTGGTTGTTGCATCCTTTGGTTTGCATAATATTGTTTGGAGGGAATTTGTTGGTTTATGAGCCACACGAATTCCAAGTGGTCTCAGTAATTTTGTCGTGATTTCTGATATATTTTTTATGTATGGTAGAATGATGCGTTTGTTGATTTCAGTCGATGACTTTGTAGTTGGTGATGCACGGGATAAGTATCTTCTGATAAAGTTTTGTGGGTAGCCGTTCTTCTTTAGGGTGGACATCAAGTAATTTCCTTCTTTTCTCTGTAAAGTTGTTGAACTTCACTGTGTTCTCGCTCTTTTGAATAGAGTCTGCACGCAACTAATTTTGTGTGCTGTTGCTACTGTAGTTGAGGATTTGATGAATGTGTTGGCTTTCTGTTCACTTAGGTTTCCATTTTTCCGGCATTTGTCCTACTGACTAAAACATCCAGAATGGTAGTTGGTTGTTCGACTCCTTCTCCGTTGGGAATTTGATGTCATTCAAAATCTTGTTGTTGATCAAACTGTGGGTGTTTTCTATATCATCTTGTTTAATTATGACAAAAGTATCGTCCACATGGCGGATCCAAATTTTTGGTTTAATCACAGGTAGAATAATGGCTTCCATTCTTCACACCACTGTTTTTGTGATTAGTCTGGATATCGGTGATCCCATTGGAGTTCCTTTCATCTGTTTGTGTATCTTGCCATTGAATTAGAAGTACGTTGTCAGGTAAAGGTCGGTGAATGCCATCAAACTTGAACATTTAAGTTTCGTGCGTTCTGTAAGGCTTGTGTCTTCTCTGAGCAGGAGGAACGTAGTTTCCTTGACTAATTGGGGTTCAATTGACATATATAATGCTGTGACACCAAACAATGCCCCTAATTAGTCGTTTTCTATGTTAATGCTTTTTGAGGATTCTGTTGATGATTTGATGGGAAATCCGCATAATTTAACGAGATGTTCCAGTTTTCTCTAAGGTTCTTTTGATATGTTGTTTGTTGGAGTTCCCGGAAGTGAAATCATTGGTCGTAGAGGGGTGTCTGCTTTGTGTAGTTTTGGTCTGCCGTAGAACCGAGCAAGAACATGTCCATTCGATTTCATTCGCCATTTGTCTTTGTTGTTTCCTCTGCTTTGAAGAGTTTGTTCAAGCTTTTATTGATCTGGTTGTCGGACTTTTGGATAGGATTGGTTTCAAGTGGTTGATACACACTTTCGTCTTTGAGTAAACCCCCTACTTTGAAATGATGTAGTCTTCTTTGTATATGACTACCGTGGTGTGTCCTTTGCCTGCTGGAAGTATAACAATATTTTTCCTATTTTTTGGTCTTTTTAATGTCTTCTGTTCTTGATTGTTCCTTTGAGCATGATGTCTCTTCTTCCTGGTCAATGGTACGATTGTTTGTCGTATTACTTGTTGAGTGACCTCATTTAATCCTGGTTTTTTAAGTGACTATTCTAATGCAGCAAAGAATTCTGGTTTGGAGACTTCTCTTGTGCTGTTAGTGAATTCTTCCACTTTTGTTAGTGGTTGTTTTGATGAGTTGGTGACACAGTCGTTTGTTTCCACGGTTTCCTTTATCCATAGTTACCGTGGAAGATATTGACTGAATAATCCGTAGTATGTATAGTATATGAACATATTGCCTTTTCAGAAAAATGAATTTACAAAAGTCAGAATGCACCTTTAGCAAGACATCGTAACCTAACTATGATTGACGTATATCTGTATATTCCGTACACTTTTAAAACAGCATCAATGAATAGTGGTGATGGATAGTGGCTAACAGTGGAATCTAGGATGCGCATTTCGTCCTATTTAGGACTCCTCAGTTGGATGTACTAGCATGAATGAATATTGTAGTTATATTTTCAATAATGTACTTTATTGATATATGATCAATTTTAAAACTAATTGAATGAAATCTACTGAGCACGTTGCCAATGGGACATTGTATGCATAGTGAATAAGGTAGAAAAAAAATATTTAGAAAAGCAAAACAAAAGCCTTGACTAATTGATCATGACTATTGGAACTTTTATAGATGAGGAAAGCATATGCTGAATACAAATATAATGTTTGCTTTTCAACAATAATGGTACTTTACATGCCTATTTTCAAATGATGACATGACGTTTTAATGATGTAAAATAATAAAATAGAAATTGAAAAACAACTTTTTACTGGCTAACACACTGACGCTTAACTGAACCATACTTCATTTCGATGGATATAGTGAATATCGGATACGCATTTCTTGTTGACTTTGCCACTTACAACATATGAAACTTCATTATGCTATCTCAAGTAGGTGTAACTCTCAACCACCAAATAAAATATGACTGAACAAAGAGAATAAATGCCAGTTTAGAAATAAATGCTTTACGACAGATCACTCAGGTCAACTTCTAAATAACGAAAATGAAGTATTTACAAAATGACAAAGTGTATTTCTAAATATAATGAGTGTGGATGAGTACACTGTTCATATTATAATATGTCATATTCTCCCCTGTACGATTACTGAGAGATTACAATACAGGATCAACATGATCATGGTCAGGCATTGCAGTTTTTAGCGATGTATGGTTTAATCTTATGCGTGTCGTCGAGATCAACAACTTAGATGGTTTCAGTGACAACGCTTTATTTTCTTCGAGATCTAATATTTCTTGTTTGAAATAGTGGAAAATATTTGTAGTTCAGGTCTGGCTGTCTTTTAACCGTATTCCAGCCTAAACACACAGCTAGTATTATGCAACGAGGTGGGAGGTGACTAGATGTGCGCAACACATTTCGTAGCCATCTTAGTAGATGAAGGTTTACAACTTCATTGATTGACTTACCTGTTTTGCGTAGAACCTGTATATCTGACTTTAACGTTACCTATGTGGGCGTTCCACAATATGTTCCGTGCTCCTCACATTATTTACTCTCAATGGCTATGTTTCACAGCATAACAGTACAACAAAGAGATTGGGATATCTACTGAATACGACTGATTTAGTGACCAGTCTACGTATTACTTCCACTGTGATCATAAATTGTCCTCACAAATGACACTCTAAACGTAAGTGTCTTTTAAAAAGTTGTTCTGACTATTCCATCGGCATACATTAATAGGATTATTTCGTGTTTCATTAAATTACGCCTCTTTTTCTAACTTAACAATATTAGATTACATATGTTATACGGTATATATAACGATACAATGCTCCGATTAACGATAGAACAATGACTTCTCAACTTTACATTTCCTTGATACCAAAAGAACGCGATGGGATTGAAAGTATATTTACTTCAACCGAATACTTACAGCTGAAAACTCAGTTTTTTATATATGCTTAGATGGCCTTGGTCAGGGAAAACTAAAGAGCGTATTAAAAGTGTAAAATGAACCAATCAGCGTTTAGTATCCCAAACTGTGGTAAAAATAAATAATATCTCATATATAGAGGAACTTAGGGCATAATACATAGTACGGTTGCTGAGAAATACAACCTTTTCCCAGAAGTATAAGAAAGTCAATTGTTTTCGGAAATTTAAACTTTTGCAAAATTCTAAACCCGGTCCAGCAACTTGCTCTATGAGTGACCGATTTCAGTAGTCATCCTATAGAAACCCATATATATATATATATATATATATATATATATATATATATATATATATATATATATGTTTTTACCCTGTTCATCATCAACTTGGAGCGAGAATAAACGCTTTCAGTTTCTGCCTACTTTGTATTGTTCTTACTTGCTAGCGACTACAGTGGGGTATTAGTTCCAAGCATCCATGCATAAATTCTTTGTATCACTGTCCTAGTGTTCAGTATTGAGTTATATGATACTATGAAATCCGAATCATATCTGTACTATGTCTGACTATAAGCCGGTAACTCACCATTCCGTGACAATTAGCCGCAATAAAGTCGCATCTACACCGTAGTAAATGTTTCAGTTTTCACACTTCTCAACGTAAAATGAATAGAGAAAGCTCAGAAGAAAGCCCAAAGCAGTATTGCAATGGTTTTGGAAACTTGTGAATCAGACTGACACTTCTATCAGTTTCGGCTTTTTGAGCTCAGTGCTTCAATAGCAAAGCTTTCATTGATACCTTGAATTTCATCAATCATACTGGTAGTAAAGATCTCTCGAGAAATTGTTTCCATGTCCCATTGAACGATTCTATATCTTTCGTTTCCATCTGTTTGTCTTTCTGTGGTGATTAGGCTGCTTCTGATATTGGTGGTATTTACAGCCATCGGAATTACCGGTGTATAAACTTTCTCATGGTCAGAGTGACAATCGGTAGTAATGAAGCAGATGTATACACGCTCTTTGTCATCCTTAAAATCTATAACATTTACAATAACATGCATCCATTTATTCTCTTATACACTTTTGTCAACTTTTATGTCATTAGTTTTCCACCCACTTGTTCTTTGTATCCTGAATGCATATTGAAAACAACATAAAAAAAGCATGAGAACTGGGGTAACTTTAAAGGCCACCCTAGCAATGATCAAAACAGCCAATTGGGTTTCTTTATTTCGGCTGTAAAGTTAGATTTTCATAAAACAGAGAAGTCTGATTGGTTATTTCAGTTGTTCCTAGAGTGGTCTGTGTGATATGTTGATGGTCTAAATTTTTCTACATTGAATTTTGAGTGACTGTAAAGGCCACCCTAACAACTGATGAGACAATCATGTTTCTCTTTTTTTTATAGAAAACTACCCTTCCAGCCGAAATACCCAGGCCTGATTGGCTATGTCAGTAGTTGCTAGAGTGACCATTATAATTACTATGACCTTGATTTTAAAATGATCTTATTGAAATGTAATGTTTGCTAAATATCAGTGGAGTACTGTTAAATTGTTTTTAGGAAATCGTGCATTTTTCTTATCTTATTTCTTTCCTTTTTTTTATATTCCCTTCATCATGTAGCAGGAACTAAGTGCTCGTTTGAGTTCAGCAATTGCTGCTCGACAACCCCAAACATCTAAAAGTTCTAGCTCAACTTTTCCACCGTGTTCCACAGCTCTAAGGAACACTCATTCTGGTCAAAGTAAAAGAAACAATAAATCTTTGTCCAACCAACCATCAACGTCCTCAAGTAAATTACCGATACAAGTGTTAACTTCTACGTGTACATCTGTCAACAGCATTTCAAAACTAGATGCATTGACCAACTGTCAAAATTATCATCTTAAAGATTCAATTAACACACAACCTTTAATGTTTGTTGATTCAAATAAAATAGCATGTCATACAGATCTGTCTCTTATACAGTTACAAAAAATTCCTTTAGGTATGTGATGTACTATAAGATTTTGATATAATTTTTATGAAGATAGTGTATGTTTTCTTTATACTTCGAATAGTTTTTTTTTATACTGACTAAAAGTGGTTCTTTTAATCATGATATACTTAACATACAGATTGTATGCTCCTTCTTTTCTTTTTCAAGTTCAATCAATCCATATTTTATACTGAATAACTAGTTTTTGAAAAGAAATGCATCTCAAATTCTTAAGGAGTTTACTCCTTCGTACTTTAAATATTCCCATTCAGACGTTAGAGAGAACTACTTCAACAAAGAAGTTTGTTTTCGGTTATGTTATTTCCTTAAACGTTATATAAATCACATTTAAATATAATTTTAGTACCTATATTTGATAGCAAATAGTGTCAAAATATTTTTTTAAAATTATTATTTTTCGTATGCTTTTGTCAAGAAAATAATATAGAGATGAAATTTTCGTAAATAGTGCTAAGATTTAATCATGTACTTTTGAGTAAGGTCTAAATGCTTAGCTTCACAAGAGTATATAAATTAGTATATGCACATTGGGATGGTCAACGCTGGCAGATTTTCCTTCTCATAACTTTTCACTACTGAGTAACTAGTGTTAGTAGTTAGCAAAGTCACAGCATAAAATGTTATCTTGAAGGTTTTTTCTGAACTATGCTTTAAAACCTATTCGAAGTAATTTAGTAATGTATTTTGGCACTATCTCTTTATTTCTCATAGTGGTTTCTCATTTCTATACTGATAAACCGATTGTTGTTTTAAATTTGTTGTAGTCATTTTTTTAGTCGTCAGTACTTTATAATGCAGAATCTAGAAATAAGTACTGGAAGTCTCTATGCTATTTTTTTTATAAATACCAGCCTGAGTTATTTGTATATCTCTGCTTACCAAAGTTTTATTTAAGTAACCTAAATCGTTTTACATACTCTTACAGGTTTACTTATGACTGATTCCTTTAAAAAACTGCGCTGATGTGAATCACCTCATTTTCGTATACGATGTACCTTTCCCTTTCAGTCTGATACTTATGACTTCGACCTGTGTAGAATAGATCATATCACAAGCAAACAGTTTATTTAACCCACGACCGGATTCGAACCAGCAATCACCAAGTTTCTAGCCTGATGCTGACCAGATTTTTATTTCACTTCAATCACCAAGATAGATTTTGCCCGGCTAGTATGTGAATTTGTGATGCGTTACTACCGCTTCATCATATTCACACTGTCTGTCTAGTCAGGACTTCTCATCTGAATCCAAATCTAACTGAATTAGATATAGAGAGAGCGTCAAATTGATTATCATTTGACTATCTGAGATAGCTTTCAGTTATCGTCCAGTATCAATACTAGTCTACGGCTATCTTAGATAGTCAAATTATTCAGTTTAATTAGCGTTATATAGAGTTGAAACAGATGGAAGATAACTATCCATAACCAAATGCATTTAATGACTAGGTTGATAAGAAGAAATTGTCCCAAGTGCATAAAGTAGTTGGATAGTTTAATCAGCATTTCACCTCTTAGAGAAGAATTGAAAATGGACTTAACAATAATGTAAAATACTTACGCCAATGTTGTATTAATACTTTGAGCTAACAGTCCAATTTAAAGTAGCTTCAGAATAGTTCAAGTGTTGAATAAAAATAAGCTAGGGCTCTATTCATAATTATGACTTCCTTTGAATTTGTTTGACTGTTGTCTTTGACAGACTTTTTTTCACTATTTTTCTTTATTATTTCCTCAACTACCAGCTTTTTTTTTAAAAATATCTATGCACCACTAATAATTTCGAATAACCATAGTTCTATTACTCTTTCTTCTTCTTCTTCTTCTTCTTTAGAAAACCACAGTATTATTTCCACCAATAAAACTGTCTCTAATGAATTCAGCAATATGGAAGTGTCAGTAACGTTAGCAACCAATAGCAATTCAGTTAATTTATCGAGTGAATGTAAGACAGATCCAGCGCAGTAGACGACATTTCGTTCAAAAATTTTGATATTCTTCTTTTTTTTATATTTTTCTTTCTTTCCTTTCCTTTGTTTTTTTATTATTCTGATTAGGGATGTTTAAAAGAAATAGTGTTTATTCTTCTGTGTAGTGTAAACTGATTTTTGTTTATTGTTTAACTGGTCAGTCTATATTTTGCTCACTTTAATTCTATCATAATTATGTATACGTTGGAATTTTTCAAGTAACAAGTTATATCAGGTTGTAGGAATTTTCTCACTTGTTCTTAGCATTGTTTTCCCATGTTGATTTATGTTTATTAGTATATATTACATGTTAGGATAGTGGCTCGAAAAACTACAGATTATTTTCACCTCTTGTTTAAATGTGCCTATCGTATTCATCCTTATAGTTGTTAGCTTTTAAATACTCTCAATTGGGCAGCCATAACAAACAGGATAATAGGCAATTTTTACCGTTTCTTTTCCTCTTATTTATTTGTTTATTTATTGAATTTCCTCACCCTTTTTTTTGATAATCTATCTTATCAAAATTTGCTTTATGTGACCAATTACAATTGTGGAGAAAAAAAAACACCTTTAATTATACCATTTAAATATTTTGTACATCAAACTATAATCAACTTTATTTACTCAATGGGGTATTTATGTTACTGTCTGTCTCATATGTGTATAAATAGGATTTTTCAAGTATATCATTGTTGTCAATCAGGTACCATTCCTATGCTGGTTTTTTTTTCGAATGGGAAGTTTAACAATATTTAAATTCACCTTTATTAATACGGAATCAGTTTATTACAATTCTTGTTTTGTTTTTTTTACTTTTACGGAAAGTCTAACACAATCTGTTAAAAATGAGCAGTGTTTATCGATTAAATCTATCAATGTACCTTTTTTTTACTTCTAGAAGGTTTGAATCATCTATGGCATCAGTGTGATGCTTGATTAAATACTACGCATCAGTTCGCTTACTCCTTCATAAGGCCGTAAAACATATTGATGAGAAGGGCCGCAAGTGCCCGACCAAAATCGCCCTCATAGCAAAGACTATGTGTCATGAAACGATTTAATACATCATCTCAACCTACAGTATCAGGTTAAATAAATCAATCAGTTGATGAGATTCTAGAAACTCATCCACTTAGATGACTGAAATATGTGCTACGCATGCCTAGTCACTGTCTACCCTGTTGCGCAATGTTAGCTAAAATGAGTTTTCACTGGGAAAAGGTTTAACGTGACCAGACTAAAGTGTAGCATCAGTCAATGAAATCTCAGACTTGATCTGAGACTGCATAGGGAAATGTAGGGTTCCTGGTCATGGTCCATGCGACAACCGAAATTGGTGGTCGGAGACTCTGGGTGATATGACCCAGAATCTTATTTAGTGACACATCTGCACGTTAATTGGTATACGGAATTCCACTATTATTTTATTCCTTTTGGTTCTCTATTCACAGATTTCTACCAATTCGATGACATTCTAACTTCTCTGTCTTTCTTCTTATTGCCCTCTACCTTTGTCTGAATTGTGGCAACTTGGAATATTAAACAGTAATTCTGTGTACTATGTTGAAATTGGCTGTCTACGATAGTCTACTGGAAGTAATCATTTGAGAGCTATGGAGACGACGTTCCAGTTGTTGCTCTATCTTTGTAAATATAAAGGAAATTTGACAGTTAAAATGTTCAGAGAACTCTTCTTCACTGTTCTATTTCGATTGTTTGTGTATTTTCTCTCAAATTGACATCAATTTGTATCACGACTTGGTTTCACAAAACTAATACCAAGTTCACACAAATGAAAAGCTTTTTATCTTAAATAAAGTAAGACAATATCATAAAATCGGGAAAAGTGTTCACGCATGGGAGCGATAGTCGTATTCTTATAATACCTTTCATAAAATGTGTTCAGATGTAGTTGGTGATTATTGTAAGCGTACAAGATATAGTTTTACAGTTTTCAATAAGCTGAATTTCCTCATATAATCAGAAAACGATTGCTGTAGCATACTAGACAGCTATTTTTACGAAAACATCAGATGTCATAGCCGAGTGTAAATGGATTTTCACAACATGCCTGTAATTCTATTTTCAGCAGTCTGTTGAATTTCGCTGTTGATTCAAAATCGGTCTGCAATACTTTGTCATTTTGAGTTGCGTAGTTTGAAAAAACTTTGTGCTTAAACTTCAGTTCATAATTTCATTATATGCTTGTCTTCATTCTGTAAGCCTTTGTGTATCCGTAGTCTTTGCTAAGGACGCTTTATTCCATACTTCACTAAAACGAAATAATGAGAACATCCGTCTGCTGCTTAAATTAGGATTGTGATACACACAATTCACCTAGAATATTTGTGAACTATTGCAGACCAATAATTCATGTTCACTTTAGGATTCAGAAGAAGAAATGGCGTATTGAAATGCAACTTATTACATTGTTGCACTACATTTTGATCTATACATCAAGTCGAAAGGCTGATGAAGTGATTTTGTGATAACAACCAGCTACTTCACTTAATTTACCTAGGCAAATGAATCAGGAAAAAATTATTTCTTAATATCGCATATTCAAATCCACTTTTATTGAACAAGCCCGTAGTATTTTGAATCTCATGAACGGTTATTCACTTCTCTATTGTACGATCTGCATCTAAGCTCAAATTTTCGCAACTGCAGTCGATTTTGTCCCGTATCGTTTTAAGTTGTCAAGCGGTTTGCTGCAGTAAAGCAAGGATATCTAGGCTTAACAACTTCAATTATCTTATGGGACAGACAGCAGTTGAGAGCTATCCTAGTTCACACCAGTATGACTACTTTTAAAGATGAATATGAGACTTCAGATAGAGAACCTACTTTGTTGTTTCAGAACGCTTGGAAAATTGAGGGGATCTTACGCCTGCGGGTTAAGAATGTCTGTGTATCAACTCTCAGAAAATATCTGCGTCGCACGTGAAAATCGAAGGTGTCAGACCACTCAGATGCGCAGCTGAAAAGTGGATGTTGTTGCAGTTCACGAGCTGAGAGACGCAGGAAAGTTTTTTATCTGCAGCCAGAGAGGATGAGACCCAGAACTAATCAACTATGAGTATCCTTCATGTGTCTGTATTTGTCCTCATTCTGATTAGGCCGCCTACTCTTTATGGCCTTGTACACTTCACGTATATTTTGCTAAGTACAAGTAATTATGTGGGTTGGCCATCAAAATTCATCTTCGCTCTCATTTGTGGATGACGTTAAGGTTGGCTTTAAAGACCACCCTAGCAACAATCGCAATAAATAAGCCTGCGGATATTACGAACTTAGTTTGACGTTTATAGAGATTTTATTTCTAAGGTAGTATTCAACACTAGCTGATTTCAGCTGGGAAACCATTGGAAACACTAGACAGTCGTTTAGTTCTCGTGTGAAGCTCCTCAGCAGTAAGCAGTCATGACCCCATAGGAGATCGAAGTAAAGACCTTCAAGTTTAAAGGCGAATACGGTAGCTATTCAGCCACTGGGTTGGAGTTCACTGGCCCTCATTTTCCAACCCGTGTCAATTTGCTGCATAGCGTGACTATCTACCTAGCTCTTCAGTTGGCATTCACTTTCAACTGAATGACTCCGCAAATCACAGTTTCTCATTAAAACTTTGGATATTCATCTCCAAGCATGTCACTAATAAGCGATACAGAGTAATGTAGTTTTTGGTTTGACATACCTGAATATTTTCAAGTCTTGCAAGATAAAAGACATATTTTTATTGAGTATGGGAGAAATGAGCTATCCGGATTCTATTTTCAGCCATTATCTATCATTAATAACGAAGAAACTGGTTATATGAGCGTATAGACACGGGGAACCATATACTAAGAAATGTTGGTCGATCTGCTTCAAACCAATCAGCAATGCCCAATGACGACGGGTCCCAATTTCAAAGTATATTTAATTTATAAAGCCTAATCCTCTCTTTGTACGGCTCACAGAGGGGATTATTTTTTAGCAGTCAAGTCAATCTTATATCCATAAACTCATTTTTTATATGATTTAAATGATGTTTTTTTATACTTTGTGCTTTTTATGCCATAACCACGAATTCATGTTGCTAAACGTATCATGCTTGTAAAGCTGGTATTTTTTTATGTAACGTATGTTGTTCTAGAAATATACACCACTATTAGGATATGAGAGTGGTTCGAAAGATCTTTACGAATGATCGGCGTTGAAACGTCAACTAGAAGCAACATCGAATGGGTAGTTTACATAAACGTACACTGGAATAAATATAGTTTTTCTGAAGTGTTTCAGTTGGTTTTATGATAACTGCTTGCAAATTAAAGAACGGATCACAAACTTTGCTAATGGTCGCTTAATGAATGTTAACTTCTACTCCAGTGCTTACCTGATAACTAACCTTTACTTTTACTTCTGGAATGCTGATTCTGCAAGGTTATCAGTCACAATGGACTGGAATGTTAAAAATTGCAGTTTGCACAAGCTACGTTAGTATTAGAAGGAAAATCTGTATGAAGAAGTCATCATTAACCGTCTGTTGACCAGTTACTTTTCACATTCGAAAGAGCACCTCGATGCAAAAAACTTACTGTATTTAATGCTACGAAGCAGTCCATCTAAGTGTTGACTGTCTGTAAGATTGCCTTTCCTTAAAGCGGTGGTTTTGATCATTTTATTGTAGTGATGGTAGTGTATTGTATTCGTATTATGAACTAAACATGAGATTTACCAGCTTACAGGTATTGTTATATTGTTCATATTTGAAAAAATACAATCATTTACATTATCGTCAGTAATAAATAAAACAAGTTAAAGATTTTCTCCATATAAATATCAAAGTTAAATAATGAATAAAAATATATCATTTTTGGGACATATGCAACGTTTACGACTTAAGATTATTCTCACCGATTATTTTATCCATAAGTGATATGAAAGCCGTACAAAATTCTATGGTTGCGATACAAACAGTCAACGTGGTTGATCCGTATGCAAAATTGTTATTTC